ACGCCGTCAATTTTTAGGAGACTCCATCCTGAGACTCTGGAGGAGACTTGGGGACCCTTGGCACTAAATGTGGTCTTTAAATTTCTCTCTTTTTTAGTGAAATTATATGAAATAATACATTAAATGTTTATGTTTTAAAATGGATGACTGCATGAGCTTACTTATTCTCTGTCTGCTCATTCTTAATAAAACATATCATGGTAGCCAGTTCTGTACTCGTTTTACCAAACTCCATTAAAATAGTACAGTAATTACTAACATCGCCCTCGTTATTCAATACACACACAACACTGTATTCGCAAAAAATCTTATGATCTGCAATGGCTAATAATACTTTTACGTGTAAATCATATATAACACAATTAATTATAGAAAATTGCACTATCATTATTATTTATTTTATAGTGGTCTTTAATTGGAGAACATTTTTTTATTTGGGTCTCCAAAAATCATGATCGTTGGTCTCTAGATAGAAAGAATCTTTAATTAGAGGGTAAAAGCTAATGATAAAAGATAACAAATTTTATGAATTTGGGGGAGTTATGTTATTTTCCGGGAGATTCTTGCTTGCTTGTGGGAGTACGGGAAGCCGTCCCGACTTCCGGGAGACTCCCGCGAGTATTGGGAGACTTGAGACCCCTGTACACGAATAACGGTTTTTTGACGTCCCGTTGATTCCATGCCAAAGAACCTTTCTTTAGGATGGCAAAGGTTCCTTTTTTTGCAGGGGCGGCGCCAGGATTTCTCCTACGGGAAGTACAACGTCCCCGACGGGGGTGCTGATGTCCCCGACGAGAACAAAGCGGGCGTCACTCAAAATCTTTTTCTTTTTCCTCTTACCGACGAACTGTGGTTTTTTCTCCGACAGGGAAAAGGGAGGGGGATAGCCCCATAGCACCTCTTCTTCACCCCGTAGAGCCGAATCTCATTTTTATGTGGGCCCCACTGCCACAAAAAATGGTTCTTTCTCGTCCGAAGAAACAGGCCCTTAGATACACGTGGATAGTTTTTGGAAGAAAATTGAAAATTTTCCAGACTTAAATTAGGACTACTTTTAAAATATAAATATAGATTTTAGTGAAGATGTGTATGTTTGCTCCTTATTGAATACCGATTGTGTTAGTAGGCCATTTAAACTTAAATGTATCATATGGTTTTAGCAGACACAACTAAAAAAAATCCCTTCAAATAAAGTAGGCCTATACATTTTTCAAAAATATTGATGATGATATGAGCATACACATGAAAATGATACACAACAAAGATGATGTTTTGTGTATAGAGTGCTATATGGAATAGGTCTATGACATTTTTAGTAGGACTATGTTAGTAATATTCTAATTGAGATTTCGGTATTCAGAAGTACTTGGAATAAGACGATCTTGTAATTTTAGTTTATCATTTCTAAATTTCCCTCTTAATATTTAAGACCACTTTTAGTGCCGGTCATTAATTGGAGGGATCCTAATTAAAGACCAAAGCCTCTAAAGACCACCAAAACCCCGGTAACAGAAGTGGTCTTTAATTGGAGAATATATATCTACATATATATATAT